TAATCGGAGGTGCAGGGGGAAGGACAACAAACTAAAACAGAAAAAAAGCAGTTTTAAAGTAATCAGTTTTCAATCTAGATTTAAAGGTGCGAAGCGCCCAGTGGATTTCTAACATCGGGAGGAAGAGCGTTCCAGACGGACGCAGAAGCGCATCCGAAAGTGCGCGATGCAGTGACCGTCTTTGTTCAATGATCAGCCAAAAGCCGCTGCTGCTGCGAGGATGACCGGCGTTCGTGTGATGGTTTAAGTTCCTTGACGAGATCAGCGAGGTAGTGTGGTTTTTGTGTACGAATGTGACTTTTCGGTTTCCGCGCAGAGGCAGGACCGGTGATTATACCATCATCAGAATATGTATTAATACCGGAGGAATCCGATGAGCTATAAAGCTCCTTTTCACAGTAGACATTGCACACGTACATCACATTGGATAGAGACCCGCATGATTCAAAATAACAAAGATATGTAATGTCATATGGGGAAGAGCCATTGTCCGAAACGTCTCCTATTATATTTATTATTATTTTGGAGACACTGTAATTGACGAATGTGTTGAGATTTGAGTTTGCTGTTAATTGTACTTGTGCATATCTGCCAAAGCAGCAGCATCACCAGATATAATGTGTTTAACAAAGATGCACACTAGTTTGATGAAATATATTACATATTATAAATTAGACGAGCCTGTATGAAACATGTCATATTCATCAAGGACATTAGAAGGGGGGTTAGGCAAGGGGAACACTCCTCCACCGAGGTTATTCACTGCGACATTTCGAGATATTCTCTCTAAATGTAATTGTAAATAAACAGGTTTCTCCTCGCTTTACGCGGTAGTCGTAGTAGATGCGTTCCAAAATAAGGGGCGCACAAAGTGAAACCGCGCAGCGTGGACCGCACGCACGGTTATCCAACCCACAATGCACCGCGCGGGGAGACAGCTACCTGTCGAGTAGCGCACATAGTAGAGTACACACAGTACACACACAGGACACACACAGTACACACACAGGACACACACAGTACACACACAGGACACACACAGTACACACACAGGACACACACAGTGTACACAGTATACACACAGTACACACAGTAGACACACAGGACACACAGTACACAGTATACACACAGGACACACACAGTATACACAGTACACACACAGTACACAGTACACACAGGACACACACGGGACACACAGTACACACAGTATACACACAGGACACACACAGTATACACAGTACACACACAGTACACAGTACACACACAGTACACACACAGTATACACAGTACACACACAGTACACACTACACACACATTACACAGTACACACACAGTACACACAGTACACACACAGGACACACAGAATACACACAGGACACACACAGTATACACAGTATACACACAGTACACACAGTAGACACACAGGACACACAGTACACACAGAATACACACAGGACACACACAGTATACACAGTACACACACAGTACACAGTACACACACAGTACACACACAGTACACACAGTATACACAGTACACACACAGTGCACACTACACACACAGTACACAGTAGACACACATGACACACAGTACACGCACATTATACACAGTACACACACAGGACACACACAGTACATGCACAGTATACACACAGTACACGCACAGTATACACAGTACACACATAGTACACACTACACACAGTACACACAGTACATACACAGTACATACACAGTACACACACTACACACAGTACACACACCATAACCACACTACACACACACACTACACACACCGTACACACAGTACACACACATCACACACACTACACACACAGTACACACACAGGATACACAGTACACACACAGTACATACACTATACACAGTACACACACCATAACCACACTACACACACAGTACATACACAGTACACACACAGTACACATACACCACACACAGTACACACACAGTACATACACAGTACACACACAGTACACACAGTACACTACACAAACAGTACATACACAGTACACTACACAGTACACACTACACACACAGTACACACACAGTACACTACACAGTACACACTACACACACAGTACACACAGTACAGTACACATACACCACAAACGATGTTGTCCCACGTCCGACCGCATCGCCGCATATGAGTGAATTAAAACCGCATATAGCGAATTTTGGGTAGAAATAGGCTCGCCACTTATACACGAAATCGCACAAACCGAACCCGCATAAATCGAGGGAAACCTGTACAAGTATCAAGCATGCCTGGAGAAAAAGATTACCCATAAATCTCAGATATACACATATAGCATATACACGTTCACATATGTACATTACACACGCGTGTATTGACGGGTATGTAACGTATGCAACGTAATACGCAGTTTCAGTCCTCGGTTAATCCACTGCCGGCTGAATGCCTCCCCCATTCCCTGTTGGTCACGGGGAGGTTTATTTTTAATTTTTAAACCATACTTCACTACTCTGGTCAGCACAGGTTGGTGAAGGAAGCGTGCCCAGGACCGGTTCAGGTATCAGTCGCCACTGATGTTAGCCGTGGCCGGGAATCGAACGCAGGAATTGGGGCTCATTGAATTGCTGCACGGGAAGTGCACCACCGATTAAGCGCGGTTGGTTATGTACGGTGCGAAAGAAGTTCAAGACGCATACATACATGTGTAGCCGATACATATACGCGTGTGTACACATATCGCTATAGGTAAAACATTATACACGCGCTTATAATAATAGTTCATATTGCTATTGGTATACCTAGACACACGCTTATACGATAGTAATGATGCGCTCACGTCAATGTATACATTCTGTAACGTGTAAACATACATTATATACGATTCACGGTTGTTTATGATCGTGTATCATGTATAGCATAATAGAATGTATTAATTAATACAATCATTTTAGTATGACTGATGTATTCACTTGCTTAGCAGTACGTGTCTGTTGCTGTTATGATTAGCACGGTTGGCTACGTACGGTGCAAAATAAGTTCAACATCCATATATATATATCATTATAACCAGATAACATTGCTCTCAAAGCATATATATAAAAAAAACATATATCGGTATAATATAAACACATGTAGCTTGGTTCAATTCGGAGTACGCACACACACAACACACACCACCGCTTATATATGTATACGTGTGCGTATATATGTGTGTGTACATTAGCCTGACCTCGCCACGCGCTGTATTTTGCACGCAGCTATCTAGGTAAAGCTAAACCGAGCTCCTTTAATCCTCCACGTGTAGAGTCAGGCTGCGTTTTATTGAGGAGCACATTGTGCTTTGTGTGGGTTCTTCATAAAGACAGATTACGCAAAGACACACACGCACAAATATAGACACAATTAGACACACACACAAAGACCAAACGTATAGCCTTAACAGGCTATTGCGCGTAATGTGTTCGCATGTGCTTATGTGTGTTGTACATTAACAAATGTGTGTTGTAAATTAACATTAACATATCTTCGATGCTTTAACATATAAATGTGCGTATCCATACAGTCGGTTTAAAGCGACTTCAAACAATTCGCTAGGACTATTAACACGTGTTGTTGTTATTTTTTAAGCTACATTATATCCGCCACGTATGAAGGAATACATGGAACCGATTCTAACTGAGAAAAGTCAGCATCTGCGAAGCGATTCACGTTTTCATTCGTGTGGGATTCACGACGCTGCGTTGCGATACTGATTTCAGTTGGTCTCTTAAAAATGTTTTTATTGAGAATAATCAAACAGGTAATTTAATCTTAAAGCCAACTTGAGAATGATACGTATATTTAATACTATTCGGTAATTTGTGTACGAGCAAACGTTGTTACATGACTTGGACAAACCAACGGATGGACACACACACAGTCACGCAGACACACAACGCATATATGTAAACAGACGCACATGAAGACAAACACACACAGACACCCAGACATACACACACGAATATAGTAGACACAATCAGATATGCACACCCAAAGACAAGGACCCTCACCCCCCGTGTAGCCTGTAACAGACTGTAGGGGCAAGTGCTGTTAGCGAGCACCTATGAAGGCCGGAACGGCACACGAGGGGGTGGATGGCCAGCACCACGCCCGGCCGCCTTTGTCTCCCGAATGGTGATGTTTTTTTCACACCGCACCAGGTACTCATTTGAGGCTGAGTCGACAAAGGGGAGGCCCAGGAGCGGTTCGGATAATCATCACCGGTGTTGGCTGTGAGCAGGAATAGAGCTCCAGTCGCCGGGTTCGTAGCGCAAGCGCCCTAGCCGCTACCACTACCGATACCCCATATTCAAGAACACACACACATCGGCAATGTCAAGTCTCAATACTGTGCTCAACTGCCACCAAGGCATGGATTCTTGAATTCATCCGTGCGGAACTTGGAGCGTCGTTGCCACCGGCAAATCCGTGGTGCCGTTCCATGCGAAGCCAAGCACCCAATACTTAAATTGACCAATCGGTTCAACGCAGGATCCCCTGGGAAAAAATGCCACGAGACTCTGCGAGGCTTTCCCGTATCAAGGGCATCATTATTATGGTTTCTACCACCACCGCAACCACCACCACCACCACCACTGTCATCGCCACTATCATCATCACCAATGCCATTGTCATCACCACCGCCACTACTGCCAACGTCGTCACCACCGCTGTCATCATTATATCACCACCACCTGCACCATCTCTGTCATTGTCACCACCACCACAACTGTCATAGCCAACATCCACCACCACTGTGACTACCAACCACCACAACTATTATCATTATAATCCACCACTGTGACCACCACTACCACCAGCTATCATCATCATCATCACCCACTACTTTGACTCACCGCCACTGTGACTAGCACCACCACCCGCACCACCACTGTGACTAGCACCACCACCCCCACCACCACCACCACCGTGACCAGCACCACCGTGACCACCGTGACCACCCGCCCTCACCCGTATCGCTCCTTGGCCTCCGCGGCGCGGTCTCGCTGTCGCCGGTTCTTGAACCAGTTGCTGACCTGCGTCGTGGTCAGCCCCGTCGCCTCGGCCAGCTCCCGCTTCTCGCGCGGGGACGGGTACGGGTTGTGCGCGTACCACTCGCGCAGGATGCTCCGCGACTTCTCCTTGAAGCAGTAGCTCGTCTCCTCGCCGTCCCAGATGGTCCTCGGCAGCGGGAACTTGCGCCGCACCCGGTACTTGCCCACGGCGCCCAGGGGTCTCCCGCGCAGCTTCTCCGCCTCCATGTAGTGCGCCTTGAGCCACAGCTGCTGCAGCTTGGGGTGGTTGTGCGCCGAGAACTGGTGGCTCTCCAGCGTCTTGTAGAGCTCGCGGAAGTTGCCCCGGTGGAAGGCCACCACGGCCTTCGCCTTGAGCACGCTCTCGTTCTTGTGGAGGTGCTCGCACGCGGGCAGCGACCACAGGAAGCGGCCCAGGCGCTCGATGTTGCCTCCCTGCTGCAGCACCTCGCACACGCACGCCACCTGCTCCTGCGTGAAACCGAACGTGGGCAGCATGGACATGCTGTGTGTGCGCGCGCGCGTGCGCCCGCGCTGTGTAGTCTGCACGTGCGCGCGCGTTGTTCGCGAGCGTGGGGCGGTGTCGTGCGAGTTAGCGGCGGTTCACGCTGACGAGCAGCACCTGCCTCTCGACCCACGGCGTGTGTTGAGCTATGCGGTGCCGGAGGGTGGAGTGGGTGGAGTGGGGGGGGTCCGGCGTTCTTCTCCGTCTGTGCACGGTGCTCACTAAACCGCACTCGCTCACCAAATCAACAAGCCTGCGTGGCCTCTGCGGGGAAACCCTTCGCGCGCGCGTGTGGGCAGTGAGACGGCGCGAATTCAAAGTTTGCGTAACACTGAGCGGAGACCACCCCCCTGGTCTCGCGCGAGCAGCTCCTGAACGAACCCCGCTCACTCAACCTCGCTGCGCACTATTCACGGTTTATACGCCGAAGTGGAAACCGCCTCCCTCCTCCTCCTCCTACCACCACCAGCACCACCTACCCACTCAAACTCCCACTCCCACCCACCCAGCTACCCACGCCACCCATGCACCTCCCCCCCTTTGCTGCTGTAGCTAACAGTCCGTCCGTCAACACCAATCACTGCACACCCACCCCCTTTCCTCCCCTGCATCATCCCAGCTGTAACTCCACACTAACAACCATCATCCTCCTCCTCCTTCTTCTGCTTCCCGGCTCCTCCCCGTGTCTCACGCGTCGGACTATCTCCCTCTCCCTCACTCTCATACTCCCTCTCCCCCTCCCCTCCCTCCCTCCATCACTCACCACCCCTCGATATCCCCCCCCCCCCATTCCTATCTCCGTTTCACACTGTGTCACTCCCTATCTCCCTCCCTCCCGCTCCCTCCTCTCCCACTCTCATCCGTCAATCATCTCCTCCCTACCCCCCGTCTGCTCCCTCTCTCCCTTCCCCATCCGTCCCTCCCACCCACACTCGCTCTCTCTCGCCCCTCTCCCACCCACCCACACTCGCTCTCTCGTGCCCTTCTCCCACCCACCCACACTCGCTCTCTCTCGCCCCTCTCCCACCCACCCACACTCGCTCTCTCGTGCCCTTCTCCCACCCACCCACACTCGCTCTCTCTCGCCCCTCTCCCACCCACCCACACTCGCTCTCGCTCTCGTCTCCCACCCACCCACACTCGCTCTTTCTCGTGCCCCTCTCCGACCCACCCACCCACCCTCGCTCTCCCGTGCCTCCCACCCACCCACACTCGCTCTCTCGTGCCCCCACCCACCCACACTCGCTCTCCCGTGCCTCCCACCCACCCACAATCGCTCTCCCGTGCCTCCCACCCACCCACACTCGCTCTCTCGTGCCCCCACCCCGCGCCCTCTCCCCACAGGAGGGAGTGAGACCGCGAACCGCCCCAAAGACTTCGATGCGCGGCGTTCTTCGGGTACAGCAGCAGCGGACACAGCAGACACGGCGGGGCACGCATCTCGGTGCGTTGCTGCTGCTGGTGGTGGTTGCCTTGCTACTGCTGGGTGATGGTTGTGGTATCGTAGGTGTTGCTGGTAGTGTTTGTGGTTGTCTTGTTCAGAGTCAGAATTGTAAGTGGTGGTGGTGGTGCTGCTGTTCATTTGATGGTGGTGATGATGGTTTCAATGTTGGTGGTGCTATCATTGTTACGCCCTGTTGTTGTTGTTGATGGTGGTGGTGTTGGTAGTGAGTGCTCGTGGTGGTGTTGCTGCTCGTGGTGGTGTGTGTGTTGTTGATAGTGGTATTGTATGTGTGGATGTTGGTGGTATGTAAGGTGCTCGCTAACAGCACTTGTCCCAACAGTCGTCCGAGGCTATACGGGGGGGGGTCTTTGTCTTTGTGTGTTGGTGGTGTTTCTGCTGCTGCAGGGGAAATGCTATTGGTTATAGTGCAGTGTATTGTAGTGTATTGTAGTGTATTGTAGGTATTGTTGATATTGTAGGTGTTGGTGGTGGTGGCGGAGACGTTTGTATTGGTGGTGGCGTTGTTGGTGGTTGAGTTTAAAGTTGGGGTGACTATAAATATGTTGTTGCTATTGGCGGTCGCGCTTACGTTGATTAGTGGTGTTGCTGCTGGTGGTTCGGCTGTAGGTGATGTGGGTGTTGTTGGTGGTGGTGATCTCTATGTTGTTGTTGTTGATGGTGGTGGTGATATTGTAAGTGCCGGTGGTGTCGTTACTGCTGGTAGGTGCCGAGAGTATTTTTCGTAATTTTGGCGTTGTATCGAACACGCGATTGTCATGTCGTTTGTAAACTGCAGATAAACTTAATATCTGATTTGGCAAATGTACTCATCCAGCAGTGGATTGACCTACCGCTGTACTTTCCTCCGGGCGGGTGGCACTCTTGACTCGAACGTCAGACAACCAAGCGGCATCTGCGTATCGGGCCGCACCGTGCTGATGAGACTCGGAAAGTGGAACCTGCACCGAGACTTCTGCTTCAGACAACAGCCCCCAGGGAACAGTTGCCCCGGAGGCTTCCTAGGCCGAATGAACTCGCAGAGTCGTTTAATTAAAGTTTATACCGTTCTAGAATCTGCCACTCTGCCACGTGAAAAGCAGGACAGCTGTCACGAGCAAAAGCTCTGCTCACAATCCTCCTGTACTCCGAGCACTAAAAGTTTTCAGCTTTTTTTACGTGATAATACAATACTCAGATAATATGTACTGCGAGGTTTTAAGATTGAAAGAATATCCTGGCGACAGAATGACAGTACATTGATAGGAGCACACATTTTAAAGTTCGAGCAATTTAAAAGGAGCCGTGTTTAGTCTCCTTGTAATTCGCTACTCCCACCTCTTCCGTGTCGCGATCTATCATTATTATCATTCAATGTCTTCAGAACTTCTTCTTCCACCGTATCAACGCAATTCCATGTTTATTTGTTACACGGGAATTCCCGTGTAGCCAGTTACCCAGCTAGAATCGGTGGCAACGGCCTGCAGCAGCCACTAACAACAATAACAACAGAAGTACTGTTGGGGTGGTGAGGAGCCTAGCCAGTAGCCAGCCAGGGAACTCGAAGCACAGATGAATGTTGATTGTATAATACAGAGACAGACTCTTACGTGTTCATAATAATGATTTAATATTTATGTACATGCCAGTATAGAGTGTTTGTTGTTCGATTCTATGTTGTTATTTACGTGCTTTAACAGAGATAGACAAAGGGTTTATACAGAGCCGTGCCTAGGGTACGGCGAATCGGGTTGACCGCCCTGGGCCCCCACGCCTTGGGGGACGCCGCAGTGTCGGATGCAATACTTCCAGTTTATTTTTAAAGCGTAGCGGGGGGGGGGGAGGTGACACAGTGGAATTTCTCCCCGGGCTCCACACCCTCCTGTGGACGGGCCTGAAAATACATACCGTTTAGCAAACCATGTTCTATCAACCGTTGGATGAAGACCAATCTCTCCCCTTCCCCCCCCCCCTCCATGCGTCGTTTTTGTCGTTCAATGCCGGGCGACGGAACAGTCCATCTCGCTCGTGCGCACCAGCTGGCCTCGCTGTTCCTTCTCCGCGGTGGTCGCTTACCTCGCGCGTGCTTTGGGCACCGACGTGGCAAGAGATGTTGACTGTCTCGCCTGGTGCACAGGAAGTCGTGGGTTCCGTCCCCAAGCCCAACGCCTGCTGCTGCTGCTGCTGTATATTTGGAGTGCGCGTGTCTCTCTCTCGCCCGTGGTCGCGTGGATTTCCGGTTATTTTGCCTTCACATTTGTAAAAAAAAAAATCACACGCGTTTAGAGTATTTTGGCTGCTATACATTTCCGCATGATGATAAGGCGCTTTGTTGAGCTATCATTTGTGGCCACCTCTGAAAAAGATCAATATAGTTCTGAAAGGAGCTATATAGCTCAGTGGGCCTTACCTGGAAAAATGAAATTTAAAAAGTAGTTAAAATAATAGTTTAGTTTAGTCTTTACGTCGTTTGAATGCCATTCCGTGACCAGTCTCGCTCATTTGTCATCTGCCCCTCTGAGCGACGTGTCCTGCCACAAGCACGCACTCAGCCTGACCTGCCTGTGCTCTCTAATCCGCGTGCTCCTCCGTCCTACCTCAGAATCAGAATCTTTATTTATCGCGGAGAAATCCGATGAGCTATGAAGCTCTTCCCCCCACCCCCCCACACGTGTCCAGTAGTAAGGGGGCACGGGCTCAGAAAGTTCCAACAGCAAACGACGAAAGAAAACCACGATAGGAGCGCAACAAATAAGGAAAGTAAGCCAATCACTATGAACAGATTAAGTTATATATGCTCACACTGCACAAGTACACACATTCCCAAGCCTGGGCAAGACAGTAACACAGCAGCAGCAAAGTCAATCGCAGGTCGTGCATCCATCTGCCCGTGCCAATTTTCACACTCGTCAGATGTCGTTCCATTGTATTTGGCGGTGGTGCGTGACAGCAGCGGGTGAACACTCAGGTGACGAACGCGTTGATAGGATATTTAGATGTTTTTTTTTAAACTATCAAATAAACATTTCCCAAAGCACCCAAAAACCTACTCTCGCTCACACGTCTGATCCAGATCCGCCTTCAATTCCTCTCCTATGGATATAATATATACTTCGTTTTGTTTGACCAAACTATACTCCTCCGACAGTTAAACGTTCTCTTGCTCGAGTCCGACGATTGCTAAACACGTGTCACGTGCGCGCAGAGAGCTCCGATTTAAATTGACTAATCATCAGGCGCGTGCAGCGTGTAAAACGAGCCAGTTTGCGTTTCCATCATCTGGTCTCCGTAAGTCACGGAGACCAGAGTTTGAGATGCCTTGGTTTCAGATGTTTGATACCATTTAACTGTCCTGGCACACATAATCAATATAGAGACGCCCACCGTGGCGAGATGTTAACTACTTTGCCTGGTATACAGGAGGTCTTGGGTTCGATCCCGACCCTGACACCTGCTGTATATTTTGAGTGTGCGTGGTCGCGTGGATTTCTCTTTAGGTCCTCCGGTTTTGCCCTCCACATTTAGACTCAACATCACCACGCGTTAAGAATATTTGGCTGCTACAATTTCCAGGCGGCTTCTGAAAAATATATATTTTGCTCAGTGAGCCTTACCTGGTAAAATAAAAAAAAAACATATTTTAGTTTAATAGTTTATATAAATAAATGTATATATATACATAAGTCACGTGCAAGTTATATGGTGATAGTGAGCCAGCAGTGGTGCACAGGAACAAATAACAAAATAAATTAAACGCATTCGTCAATAACACTGTGGCTTTAAAACAAATATGTATACATATACAGTGAGGGAAAAAGTATTTGATCCCCTGCTGATTTTGTACGTTGGCCTACTGACAAAGAAATGATCAGTCTATAATTTTAATGGTAGGTTTAATTGAACAGTGAGAGACAGATTAACAACAAAAAAATCCAGAAAAACGCATGGCAAAAATGTTATCAATTGATTTGCATTTTAATGAGGGAAA